CCCCCCTCCCCTCCCCGGGAGGGATTTGGTTGCAGCCTCCCCGGGGAGGGCAACTCGGTTGCGACCCTGGGGTAGGTTTGGGTGCAACCTTTTGGGGATGGGGTGGGGAATAAATTCGGTTGCAACACCCCAAGGAGGGTATTCGGTTGCAATCACCCTCCCAGGGGCAATTTGGTTACGACCCCAGGGGTAAATTCGGTCGCAGCCACCTCCCGGGGGCAATTCGATTGCAACCCTTGGGTAGACGCAGTTACAACCCACCAGGGGGTAGATTCGGTTGCAACCAGTGATCCGGGGTGGGGGGCTGGAGAGGGGCTGTTTCCCTGCCCAAAAAAACTGAAAACCTGCATGCATTATGGGAGGAAGCCTTGAATTCTGCATCCCACTGGGAAAAATTCAGGGGCTTTGGGGAGGGGACCTGGACGCATCCTCCCACATCGATGTCTCTCCCCACCATCTCCATGTCCCTCTGAAGCCACCAGAAGCATCTCCAGAGGTTGTCCCAGCCCTGTGGACATCCCTCTCCCTCCTGCGATAGCTCCAGGGGCTGGGAAACCGGGACGCAAGCTTTTTATTTTCCCTTTTTTCCCCACAAATTCTAGCGGAATTGTGCACTTTTAGTGTGCGTGACCCGAATCTTGCAACACCAACTGGACAATCTTCTCCCCGGGGAGGTTGCAATTAACCCGCCCAGGCGTTTTTGCAGTCGCGATGGACGGCGGCCGGGGATGGCGAAAGGGCACCTCGTCGCTCTGGGTGTGGACGGTTGCGTTTTGGGGTGAGTGTGCAGCGATCGGGCTCCTGAACTCCTCCGATTTATCCGCCATCGCCTCCGAATGGCATTTTCCGAGCTTTATCCAAAATACGCTATGTCTCGCCCCCGCAAAATCGGAGATTTGTGGCTTGCAATGGTCAAAAGGAGATAAAATTGCCCCCCCAAAGTTGACGTGCATGGAGGAAAGCAAGGTGCGAAGAGATGGGCCAAGCCACGTGGGCCACCAGCAGCTCATGGCCTCTTTTGGTTGTTCTCGATTGAAAAAACAGCAATGTTTTGCTTCTCAGGAGGCCTCAGAGCCTGGCGCAGGTGGCCACAGGTTGCCTTCCCAAATGTCCCTGTGGTGCAGCCACCTTGACCCTGAGGAACTGGAGTTTTTACCCTCCGATTTGCCAAAATTTGGTCACCTGAGCTCTATTTCCCGAGTGGCAACCTGGCCAAGACACCAGCATGGGACACGTGGCCTTCAGGTCCACCTCCCAGCATGACAACGTCCCTGATTGGTTGAGGTTGGAAGGGACTTCTGGAGATCATCTAGTTCAACCCCACCCCCTCAGCCTCTCGTGTTGGACGAGGGAAGCTTTAAAAAGCCCAATCGTTCCCTTGAATCTCCTCCATTTGGCATGAAACCCACCCCAAAATCTCAACGGGTCTTGCTGATCAATTGATATTTCTTAAAACTCTTTATTATCCTCCACCACCAAGGTTAAATTGGGTGCAGCACCCCGGGTGCAACCAGGTGCTCCCAGACTTACCTTGGTGAGGATGAAGGCAACGGGGCCCAAAGTCTCCTCTTCTTGGTGCTTCTCCAGGTGTTTCATGCCTTCCTACCACGGCCGTGTTGGCCCCGCACCACCTCGGGCGGGACTTCATCGTGGCCTTCATGCAGAATGGCTTGCAGCAGACCCTCAACAGTGACTTCAAGCTGCTCCTCACGGCCTACTCGCCCTCCACGTCCATCACCATCTCCATGAAGAAGCCCAGGCTGCGCATGACGGTGCAGGCGACGACGGGGCAGACTGTCGCAGTGAAGATCCCACCGCAGGCAGAGATGGTCGGCAGCAAAGCTTTCGATAACACCGTGCTGGTGCAGGCCACCAACGATATCTCGGTGCTCATGGTCAACGAGAAGCCCGCTTCGGGCGACTCGGCAGTGGTGTACCCTGTGCACAGCTTGGGCACTGAGTACTACGTCGTCACGCCCAACGTGGGCACTGACCGCTACGGCGAGTTCGTCATTGCGGCCTGGGACAAGCCCACCACCGTTGACGTGCACCTCAAAGCCTCCGTGACCTACCAAGGACGGACTTACCCACGAGGCTCCGTGTTGCCCCTCCATCTGGAGGCCTTCCAAGCAGCCCAGTTCCAAAGCCCCTCCGACATGTCCGGCACGAGGATCGTGGCGCAGAAACCCGTGGCCGTCTACGTTGGCCACACCTGCTTGGCGAGGTTCACCCAGTGTGACCACCTGGCGGAGCAGCTCCAGCCTGTCTCCAGCTGGGGCAGCACATTCATCGTGCCACCCTTGCCTTTCGAGGCACAGTCTGACATCGTCTACGTCTCCACTGCCCAGGCGACTCGCATGGAGTCACAACATGGGACAACCAGGACCATCCGGGAGCTGCGGCCTGCCCGATCTGCGCTTTATGGACTTCAAGCTCCAAATAGCTTGTACCTCTCCGCTAACGCCGGCGTCCAAGTCATCTTCTTCGCTGATGGAGGCCACAAGGATACTCTGCCTTATGAGCCGTTCTTCATGACCATCCCGGATGTCTCCAGCTACTGCCACTCCTATGTCATCTTCTCCCAGGACCATTACGAGAACTACGCCGTGATGATAGCCAAGACAGCGGAGACGGCCTCGATTATGCTCAACAAGAGCCCGCTGAGAAACGTGGTGTGGAAGCCAGTGCCAGGGACGGATTATGCCTGGGCCGGGCACCACCTGGGCAGGCGCTTTGCGGTCCATATGGTGGAGAGCGAGGCTTCGCCCTTCGGGCTGCTCAGTGTAGGGATCGGCGAGCAGAAGGCGTACGGCTCGGCGGCAATCTGCGACAGCGGTAAGCCCCTACTACCTTCTCCTTTCCTCCTGCAACCCTTTAGGTTGCAACTCAAGGTGAAAACCCCCACACAGAGGAGCCAAAATCGACTTCTCTGTGCCCAAACCAGGTGCAGATGATGCTTCCTTTGCATCTGGCAGCCCTGTGGCTGATAGAAGCCGAGTTTGCACCTGGAAACCCAGGTCTAAAATGAGCTATCCTGATCTTTGGCCCCTTCCACCCTGCTCCTTCCACCTTCTCCTTTCCTCCTGCCCCACATCCAAACCCCAGCTGCAATTCAAGATGAAAAAAAACCCAACATATTTAGGAACCAAAATCTGCTTTTCCACACCCATACCAGGTGCGTGTGGTGCTTCCTTTGCATCTGGCAGCCCTATAGCTGATAAATGCCAAGTTTGCACCTGGAAACCCAGGTCTAAAATGAGCTGGCTTGATTCTAAATGCACTCTCAGCTAAATTTTGTAGAACTAGGATAGACAGAGCAATCCGTCCACCCTGGTTTTGGCACGCTTTAGGATGAATTTCCTCCACGGCAAAGGTTTCTTCTCATTGCCTAGAGAAGGAGCCCATAAAAGGCTGAGGCTTGCACGGGCCTATGTCTGTCAGCAAAGCTGTCCATCCCCCCGCCAAAATGAAAAAACAACCAAAGAAAGGGTGTTTCTGGGTTTTTATTTTGCAGATCCCTGCCGAGGAGTGCAATGCCGCGCCAAGGAAACGTGCAAAGTGCAGGATGGGCGGGCCAGCTGCGTGCACGACTACCTGGGGACCTGCCTGGGCTTGCCAGATCTGCAGTACCGCACCTTTGACGGGGCGACCGTCGCCTTCCAGGCCGACTGTACCTACACCGTGGTCAAATACTGTGGTAGCGATCCCGCCCTGGTGCCCTTCGCCATTGACGAGAGGAAGAGCGAGGGTGGCTCCAAGGGGTGGCTGACCAGCATCTATGTCTACGGCTACAACGTCTCCATCCACAAGGGAGATGGTGGCAAAGTCCAGGTGGGTTTTTTTCTGCTCCTTGGCAGCGTTGTTTTTGGGTGAAACCTTCAGAGAAAAGCAGAAGAGGGTAAAATGTGATGGTAAGTGAAATTAGAGCAAAACAGGAAGCAGTGAAACAGAGTTTCAGGAAAATTTTGTGTGATGAAGACAGCGGCAAAAGGGAGGATGCCTTCTGTTGGGCTCTAGGTGTCTATGGCAGAAGTGTCTCCACCTAAACCACGCTTGTTTTTTGGCTAATGCTAAAGAAGAAGCGATTTAAGGATGTAATTCACCTCGTCAAGTGGAGACATCTCCTCTAGGGTGAGATCAGTCTTACCCTTGGAAACACCCAAATCTATTGGATCCATGGAGATGGACCCAAGGAGCCTAGACAAGTCCTAAATCTATATTGCAAGGTTAAATGAGGCATCTCCCACCCATACAGGCAGGCACCACAGTCCAGTCCTCACATCGATGAGATTTTAAAGCTCCAAAGTCAAAAGGAGATGATTTTCCCTTGAAACAGCTGGGGCTTTTTTTCAACCTGCTCCTGCT